TAAGTTTAAATGCCCAAGGACTTGTATACATGCATATAAGTACAACCAATGGGCATAAAACTCTGGGGAGGGAGGGGATATATGGGAGGGAGGGAAGGGGGCAAAAAAAAAATCAATAAAATATGTAAAAATAAATAAATAAAATAAAATAAAATAAGTTTAAATGAAGCAATCCCTCAACTACTTTCCCTCAACTAGTTCCCTGAAAACTTTTGCTAGTTCAAACATGAGCCTTTTATGTCCCTTCTAAGATCCTCACAATGGCCTGTAAGACCCACAGGATCTGAATTCTCCTATTCCCCTATTGCCTCTCTGACCTCCTGTGCCATCATTCATTCTCCCCCAGCTTACCTCCCTTCAGTCATATTGGCTTCTTTCGGTGTTCTTCGAACATGCAGTCTCTCTTCAGGGCCTTTGTACTTGCTGGCCAGTCTTCTTGGAAGGCTCTTACCCAAGATCTGCACTTGACTCTTCAAGCTGTTCAGTGCCCCTGACTCAGTGAGGTCTTCCTTGACGGATCTCCTCCTTCCCCTCCCCCCTACTCTTTTGATGGCTGAATATGGACATTTTCCGTGCAGTAATATTGTCATCTGGTTCAGAAAATCGACATGAGCCGAGACCGGTTTGGCTCAGTGGGTAGAGCGTCGGCTTGGGGACTGAAAGGTCCCGGGTTCGATTCCGGTCAAGGGCATGTACCTTAGTTGCGGGCACATCCCCGGTAGGGGGTGTGCAAGAGGCAGCTGATCGATGATTCTCTCTCATCGATGTTTCTGACTATCTCTCTCTTCCTCTCTGTATAAAATCAATAAAATATTTTTTTAAAAAAGAAAAGAAAAAAGAAAATCGACATGAGTCGCCACGATGGACCTCATGGATACAGAAAGCCCTGGCCGGCATTTGGTGATTTCTCCACAGGCTGGTCCAAACCTGCGGTTCCCACTTGAGCTCTCTGTTCACGGAGTGGTAGTCGGAACCAGGTTCTAGAAGGAGAACTCCTTGAAGGAAAGTCGTGATCTTTTCCGATCTGTGGGTTCCAGGAGCCCAGCGCTGGGAGGGCACTCAGTAGTGTTGGTTGGTGATTAGTGAATGAAGAGCACGGGCGGCCCCGCCCACTTTCCCCTGGAGGTGCGCGCGCTTCCGGTCCTCAATCTGCCGCTCGGCACTCGTCCCGTCGCGTCCCGCCCCATCGATCGGCTCGGCCGGCGCGCGCCTGCGCCTTGGGCTGTCAATCGGAGGCGGCGTGCGGAGAGCCGGAGCGGCGGCGCGCCGGGAGCTGAGGTAAATCTGCGGCTTTCGCGCTGCCAGGCCGCCCTCGAGCCGCCGGGCGCGGGCGAGGAGCCCTGCGGTGGCCACCTCGCCCCGCCTCACCTGATCTGAGCGAGGCGGCTCCTCAGGCCTCGCCTCGGAGGGCCTAAGCGGGTACACGGGGGTGAAAAGTCCCTGCGTGACCCGGCCGGGAAGCCCTGTGTCCAAACTAGAAGAGAACGTGGGGAGAACCCGAGCCAACCCCCTGGTGCAACAGGTGGAGACATTGGGTTTCAGGATTTACGGGCGGTACAGAGAGGGGACCCCACACCCGGGAGCAGACGCCCTTAGCGCAGCGCCTGAACCCCTCATTCATTATTCTGCCTGTTCGCAGTTGTTTAGGGGCCAGACAGTGGCCTATCAAATCGCATACAGTGAGTTCCATGTGAGAGATCGATTATGACAGTGTTTTATCTGACCGGTTGCAAAAGGGATTAGGCCGTGGAGCTGTGATGGAAGCGTGTCTGAGGTGCCCTGACCGCCGTCTCTCCAACGTGAGAGGCCACGGGGAGACCCGTTGCCTTCGTTCCATTCCCACTGGGTGGTGGCAGTGACTTTGAGGGATCTGACAGCCCGCCTGGTAGCGTGGTTAGTCATGTCCATGGTTGTCACCCAGAGCCTCACAGAGAGCCAGAACCCCAGTCCCAGGGGCGTGGGCTCTGCCGGCTGTGCCTCTGCTGAAGCTTGACGCCTGCTCAGGGCGGTGAGGCTCACAGGCGCCCATCCCCAACGCCAAATGCCTGGCGAGTGCCTGGCGCCTGGGGAGCTGTGTGAGGTCCTGGGAATGCAGTGATGGCACACACAGCCCCTGCCTTCGGGGACCTCACGGGAAATTGACACTTAAACCCGTGGGCACTAAAGCTTGTGAAGGCGGAGATGGTCTGGGCACGGTAGAGAGCAGCACCGAAGGGGGAAAGGAGTCGCTTCTCCCAGGAGGGTGGGAAGAATTAGGAATGACTCTTTTAGGGCAGACGATTCTTATAACTGAGTCTTAAAAGTTTAATAGGTGACGAGTAGGCCCAGGAGAAAGGCACCTAGGAAACAGGAATAGTAATAGTAACACAGAGACCAGAATTATACGACAGCATCAGTCAGTTGGCAGCCTCTAATAATACCTTTTATAGTGCTTGCTCTGTGGTTGGCATTATTTTCTGCGCTTTACGTAGTTTTAGCTCATTTACGCTTCATAACAACTCTGAAGTAGAAATTATCATTATCCTCATCTAGTAAAAGAAGAAAGCCAAGGCATAGGAAAGTAGGTAGCTTGCCCTGGCTGACGCAGCTAATGCGTGGTCGAGCTAGAATTCACGCCTGTCCGTCTGGCTTGATCAAGAGTCTGGGAACTTAAGCACCAGGCTCCTTTCTGGGAACTGAGGACACCAAGAGTTGTAAATGTCAGGCTCCTGGTCACATCACCTGTAAATGGCAGAACCAGAACTCAGACTTAGGTCTTCTGACACCGGAAGGACCAGTGCTCTATTCTTTTTTATTATTATTATTGTCTAAAGTTTTACCTAAGTCTCCATTTTCCCCTATTGATTCCCCCCCTCCCCCAGCCATTCCCACCTCAGGCAAGCCCCCATTGCCGAGTGTCTGTGTTCATTGGTTATGCTAATATGCATGCATATCACTGCTCTATCCATAATAACGTCAGATGTGATGGGAGTTATACAGTGCCAAATTGAAGTTAAATTCTAATCTGAGTTCATGCTTGCTGCAATCGAAATTACCATATCTTTAAGTGTAAGATATTGTTCAAGAGCCTTCATTTTGAGTGTAACTATTGCAGTTTAGATATTAATATGAAGGGCCCAGGACTGATCATAATTATGGTAAAGGTGCAACATTATTTGCCAATTTTATGTTAAATAAATTTTTTTCTGAACATTGCATTTCACACTTGTATTAAAAAGGTTGCATTATTTGTTGTAAGTGGAATACTAAGTCAAAGAATACTTTTATTATTATTATTTTTTAATCTTCATCTGAGGATATGTTTAAAGAGAGGAAGGGTGAGAGAGAGAGAGAGAGAGAGAGAAACATCTCTGTGAGAAACATTGATTGGTTGCCTCCCAGACATGCTCTGACCTGGGAATGAACCCACAACCTAGATATGTGCCCTGACTGGAATCGAACTCACAACCTTTTGGTGTATAGGACGATGCTCCAATCAACTGAGCTACCTGACCGGAGCAAAGAGTGCTTTTATTTTTAATCAATTAGGATTTATGACCTTTTACTGTGCCTCTTTTCTGTGGTAGCTGCTGTAAAGAGATTCTTTTGAAGGTCAAATGGGTTCCTTAAACTTGGATTCCTAAAAAGGAATTCATTTGGATTGTTTCTACAATTGAGCTTTTCAAATCTAGATCTAGCCTACATTTATTTGTGTTTAATATAGTTGGGGGTAATGAAAAGATAGGAGCAGTTGGCTGAATTATTGGAAGAATCTTAAGTCATTTTATACTTTTTAGAGACCTAATATGCTTGTAGTGTGCAGTTAATTTTAGCCAGAATTATAGAAAGTTTCAAGGAATAGGAACTGAATCAGACGCCCACTTGGTAAACTATTACTCCTTCAAGAATCAGCTCAAGTATTACTTTCTATAAACCTTCCCTGTCTTTTCTAAGAAAACTTAGGTATTATCTTCACTATTTGCTCACTTCATCTTGGTTATATCTCTGCAATGGCACTAATAGGATATTATAATTTACTGAATTGGTCTTCTCTACTTAATTGCGAGCAATTCAAGGGCAAGGCAGATTTTTTAAATTTATATTCTATCTCCAGCCTATCTTCCCAGGCTGGAGTATATACTCCAGCATATACTGAGGGAGGGGCAAAGTAGGTTTACAGTTCTAAGTACTATAAGTAAAACACACAGTTTATTTTTCATTACTGTTTATTTAACTAGAGGGCTGGTGATTGAAATTTGTGCACTGAAGTGGAGGGAGTTGTGCTCTCAGCCCGTTCTGTGCTCTCTCACCGTCTGGGACCCCTCACTCCTTACCACTCTCCTGCTTGCTGCTCCTTACTGCTGCTGCAGAGGCAGGAGAGGCTCCCATTATCACCGCTGCACTCGCCAGCCATGAGCCCGGCTTCTGGCTGAGCAGTGCTCCCCCTGTGGAAGCGCACTGACCAACAAGTGGCAACTCATAGTGACAGGTCATTCTGGTTGTTCCACCATAACATTGCTTAGACTTTTGTTATGTAGATTATTATATTACTAGAGGCCCAGTACACAAATTTGTGCACCTTGGCCAGACACCCCACTGGCAAGCTAACCTACCCCAGCAGCAAGCTAACCTACAGGTCAGAGCGCCTGCCACTGGTAGTGCACATCATAGCAATCGATTAAGTGGCCTTAGCATATCATTAGCATATTACACTTTGATTAGTTGAACAGCCAACCAGTCGACTGGGTACTTATCATATTAGGCTCTTATGATAAAGGATTTGTCATACAAACAATTGTAAACCTACTTTTGCCCCACCCTGTATTGGTAAGAATATGATTAAGGTTATGTTTACTGCAGCTAAGGAACCTTTCTTACCTGGTTATTGGAGTTGGGAGTCATGTATTTGACATAGTGGGTATCAATAGCCTAGATAGAAATAGCATTATTAGTGTGTATGCTTCCATTTTTGTTACTTTTCCCCTGTAAATTGTTTTTCTATGTAATTGCAGTTGGTAAACATGGAATTTCAAGCAGTAGTGATGGCAGTTGGAGGGGGATCTCGGATGACAGACCTGACGTCCAGCGTCCCTAAGCCTCTTCTTCCAGTTGGAAACAAACCTTTAATTTGGTACCCATTGAACCTGCTGGAGCGTGTTGGATTTGAAGGTGAGCTATGGTAATGAGATGTACTTATAAAACTTTTAGGGTGTTTGATCCCAATGGTTTGTCATTTTTATGAGGATGAGAGAGAAGAGGATAAATGAGAGAAGACTAGACTCTGTTGACTGGAGACTGGCCTCTTTAAATTAGAAACATAGGAGCACTCAAAAAAAAAAAAAAAAAAAAAAAAAAAAGAAACATAGGAGCACTCTATTGCTGTGTGAAAACAGTTTGAGAAGATAGCACTAAGTGTTCCAGGTTTAGAGCTGGTCTCTACAATATAAAATGAACTCGATAAGGATATTAGAAAGAAATAGTGGGGATTCACACATCTCATATTCAATACTTACTTTGAATCTTTATGTGCCAACTTATATATTAAGCACTGGGGTACAGAATTGAAAAGATAACTCAGGCCCTAGGCGGTTTGGCTCAGTGGATAGAGTGTCAGCCCGTGGACTGAAGGGACCGGGTTCAATTCCAGTCAAGGTCATCTATCTAGATTTCAGGGTCTTCCTTGGTCCAGGCCCTGGTTAAGGCTTGTGCAGGAGGCAACTAATCGATGTGTTTCTCTCACGTCAATATTTCTCTCTCTCTCTTTCCCTCTCTCTTACACTCTCTAAAAATCAGGGGAAAAGTATCCTCAGGTGAGGATAAAAAAAAAAAAAAAAAAAAAAAAAAAAAAAACACAAGATAACTCAGGTCCTGATCTCCATTAGACCTTAAAATCTAACAGAGAGATACACATATAGATTATCACTGTGTAGTATGGTAAATGTTACAATAGAGGTACATTGTAAGTGCTTAGGTATACAGAGGAAATTGCTGTTTATACTTGAGGGATTCAAAGAACACTTCACAGAGTAGCTGACCCTTGAGTTAATTCTTTTTATTTTTTAATATATTTTTTATTGTTTTACAAAAAGGAAGGGAGAGAGATAGAGAGTTAGAAACTCTGATGAGAGAGAAATTGATGAGAGAGAAATATCAGCTGCCTCTTGCAAACTCACTACTGGGACTGTGCCCGAAACCAAGGTACATGCCCTTGACCAGAATCGAACTTGGGACCCTTCAGTTCGCGGGCACTCTATCCACTGAGCCAAACCAGTTAGGGCTTGAGTTAATTCTTGAAAACTATCAGATTGACAAATAAGGAGAGAGTATTCCATGCAGAAATGATAAGAAAAGATACAGACTCATGATCAGCACAGCATGTTCTGGCAACTGCTATTCATTCTATGTGGCTATAATATAAAGTATAAGGAGGAGGATGAGGTGTAATGAGCAAGATAAGCAGGGTCATGCTATAAAGCGCATTGTCTTCCATGCTGAGGAATTTAGATTTTTTTTCCTAAAAGCAGTGGGAAAACAGTGAAAGATTTAAACAAGAGTGTAATGTGATTATATTGGCACTTTATTTATTCTATGACAAGCAAGTCCTTTGCATCTTTAGATAAACTTTAGAATTAGCTTATTAATATCTACAAAAAGGGTTGGTGGAATTTTGATTATGATTGACCAATAGGAAGAAAATTCAGATCATAATAATACAGAGTCTTCTGATCCATGAGCATGGCATCTCTCTCTATTTATTTATATCTTCTGTAATTTCTCTCAATAATTTTATAGTTTCCCGTGTGTAGGACTTAAACATATTTTGTTAAATTTATATCTAAATAGTTTATATTTTTGATGCTATTGTAAATGGTAATTGTTATACAATATCCTAATTTCCAATTATTAGTTGCTAATACATAAAAATATAGGGTTTTTTAAAAATATTTTATTGATTTTTTTTTTACAGAGAGGAAGGGAGAGAAATAGTTACAAACATCGATGAGCCGAAACCGGTTTGGCTCAGTGGATAGAGCGTCGGCCTGCGGACTGAAGGGTCCCAGGTTCGATTCCGGTCAGGGGCATGTACATTGGTTGCGGGCACATCCCCAGTGGGGGGTGTGCAAGAGGCAGCTGGTCGATGTTTCTCTCTCAACGACGTTTCTAACTCTATCCCTCTCAATTCCTCTCGGTGTAAAATCAATAAAATATATTTTAAAAAAGAAAAAAGAAACATCAATCAGCTGCCTCCTGCACACCCCCTACTGGGGATGTGCCTGCAATCAAGGTACATGCCCTTGACCGGAATCAAACCTGGGACCTTTCAATCCGCAGCCTGACGCTCCATCCACTGAGCCAAACTGGTTTTGACTAGGTTGTTTTGTTGTTGTTTTTTTAACATTTTTTTTATTGATTTCAGAGAGGAAGGGAGATGGAGAGAGAGTTAGAAACATCAATGATGAGAGACAATCACCTATTCGGCTGCCTCTTGCACACACCCCCACTGGGGATTAAGCCCTCAACCCAGGCATGTGCCCTTGACTAGAATCGAACCTGGGACCCTTTCATCTCCAGGCCGATGCTCTATCCACTGAGCAAAATCAGCTAAGGCAAAAAAAAAAAAAAAAAAATAGTTTTTTTATACTAGCCTTTTGTCCTACAACTTTGCTTGATACAGTTATTAATTCTGTTAGCTTTTTTTTTTTTTTTAGGATTTTCTATAATTTGACCTAATTGACATTTGTAGAACATTTCACCCAATAAAGCAGAATAAACATTCTTTTTAAGTACTTTTACCAAGATAAACTATATTTTTTAAAATAAAACAGGTCTCAATAAATGTATAAGGATTAGAATCATACAAATTATATTCTCTGACCATGGTAGAGTTAAATTAGACATTAATAACAGAAAGATATCAAGGGAATCCTAAGAATTTGGAGATTGAATCACATACTTCCCCATGATCTATATGTTTAAGAAGAAATCACAAGGGAAATTAGAAAATATTTTGAATTTACTGAAAATGAAATGCACTGTATTAAAATTTGATATAGCTAAAGTTCTGTTTATAAAAAAATTTATAGCACTATAGTAAAAAAGAAGAAATGTCTCAAATTATCATCATAGTTCTTTCAGAAACTAGAAAAAGAGGAGCAAATGAAACCTAAATAAGTAGAAAGGAGATTTTTGAAAAGATAAGAGTAGCCTTGGCTGGTATGGCTCTGTTAGTAGGGCAACTTCCTGTGTACTGAAAGGTTGCTGGCTCCATGCCCCAGTTGTGGACTTATGCCCACTAGGGGTCATGCAGGAGACAGCTGATTGATGTTTCGTTCTCACCTCGATGTTTCTCTCTTCCTCTCTCTCTAAAAATCAGTTTAAAATTTTTAGCCCAGCTGGCTTGGCTCAGTGGTTGTGTCAACCTATGAACCAGGGGATCTCAGTTTGATTCCCGATTGGGCCACGTGCCGGTTCAATCCCCAGTGTGGGGCATGTAGGAGGTGGATCCATGATTCTCATCATTGATGTTTCTGTCTCCTTTTCCCTCTCCCTTCCTCTCTGAAATCAATATAAATATATCTTTTAAAAAAAGAATATTAGATGATCAATTTTTAAAAAGATAAGAGCAGAAATAAATGAAATAGAAAACAAAAGCATTAGAGAAAAATCAATAAAATTGTTAAGTCTTTAGTTAGATTGATCTGGAAAAAAAGAAAAATTACTAATAACAATAATGAGAGAGGAGACATAACTACAGATCCTATAGACATTAAAAAGACAGGGGAATATTAAGAACAACTTTATGGTAATAAATTTGATAACTTAGATTTACAGTTTTTAAAAATTACTTTGGAAGCTATATGAGGAATGGATTTGAAGGAGTCAAAACTATAAACGGGGATGAGTTAGATTGATACAAAAGTCCACACCAGCAATGGAGAAGGCTTGTACTAAAGAAGTACTAAGGATGGAGAAAAGGGAACACTTGAGAAAGTTGATGATTAAGAGGAGGGAAGTAGGAAAAAAAGGGAAGAGTTACCTCTACTTTTTGCTTGTGTGACTAGGTGATAGCATTAACTAGGAAAGGGAATAAGAGACAAGGAACAAGTTTGAATGAGGATAATGAGTTTAGCTTTGACCACAGTGCGTTTTAGGTACCCTATATGTAGTTAAATATAGCATATCCAAGGACTGGATAGAGGTGGTGTTATATCTTAGGGCCCAGTCTTATGATCTATTGATCATTCCACTATGAGAACTGCCTTCCTGAAACAAACACATAATATTTCTATGAAGTAGTCTATGTGACATTGATGTTAAGATATATGTTTTAGAAGAGATTTTGTTTTTAGAGATCAGTTTGCTCAGATGAAGGACATCTTAACATACTTTAAAATCTCATAATTTCTGTTAATTACTTTTTTAGGATTCATCATCTGTAACCTTTTTTTTCTTTTTATTTTTGCTATAGATATAGTTAGTTATGCTTAGGGATCGCTTTTTGTAGTATATTTAATATGCCTACATAAAAAATTTCTTCTCACTAAGGAATTGGAGAATACCTACTAAACATAGGATTCTGGAGTTTAATAACCAAGTCATGATTTTAGACTTAGCTTTTGTCTCTTTCCATACAGAAAAGTCTTGGTCCAATTATTAGACTGACTTTTTCAGTTAAGTTACTTCTTTAACTCTATCCACTCTACCTAAAATGTCCTCTCCTTTTTTAAATCCTGAATAGCATCAATCTCCTTGTCTTCTATGCTTCCATCACACTTTGGTTTTCTATCTTAGTACTTCTCAATGCCTGTTTCATGCTGTAGTTAATGGCCTGGGGGACTGATCTCTCTGAGAGCAGGTACTATATCTAATTCATTTTTGTAACGTCAGCATTTTACATATAATATGTATTGTATTTTTTTTGTAATATTGCATAATTATATCCCTGAAACCTGTATAATTTTATTAACCAGTGTCCTACAACCCCAATAATTTCAATTAAAAAAATTTTTTAAAATATATTTTATTGATTTTTTACAGAGAGGAAGGGAGAGAGATAGAGAGCTAGAAACATTGATGAGAGAGAAACATTGACCAGTTGCCTCTTGCACACCCCCTACCGGGGATGTGCTCACAACCAAGGTACATGTCTTTGACCGGAATCGAACCCGGGACCTTTCAGTTCGCAGACCGACGCTCTACCACTGAGCCAAACCAGTATCGGCAATAAAAATTTTTTAATTAAAAGAAATTTTTGTTGTAAATTCATTGTGTTCTCAAAGGCCATGCCTTCCATGATACTTTCCTTAACCATTTCCATGTATAATTTCTTCATGTTAGGTTTCTTAAAATAAGAACCATGTTGAGTTCATTTTTGAATTTTCAGTGCCTATTCATTCTTTACATATTAAATGTATTCGTATTTATTAGATGAATGAGTAAGTTAGTGACTAAAAGAAAGCAGAGAGGAAAAAAGAAGAAAAAAAGGAAGAAGGAAAGTTAAATGATTTGAAAAAGAAAGAAGGAAAGGAAATAGAAAAGAATGCTTACAGTGAAAGGGAGAGATAATTGTGACCTGGAATACTATAATGGACAAGTGGAAATTTTTCCACTATAGAGATGCTAAAATTTAATCTTTAGACATCAGCAACATATGTTATGTTATAGTGGATTTACATTACCCTACCAAAGATCCATGACAAAACCCCAAGTTTTCTAGCATTGGTTGATAGCTACATGGATAAAGTAAAAACATCTGTTATGTGAAAATTGCCTCTAACTAGGGTTCATTGTGGCTACCTCACAGGAAGTGGGGATAGCTCTTTCTTTGTAGTGAATGAAGATTTAAAATGGGATCCCATTTGTATGCTCTGCTGGCTTCTTTACATCGAGAAGTATCATGTAATATATTAAAGTGAGGGTTCTAATTAGACAGACCTGAGTTTTATCTTGAATCAGTTGCTTACTAGTCGTGTGACCCTGAACAAAATCCAACAACATTAACAGTTTTCTCATTTGTAAAATGAGATTGTTATTAAGAATTGAGAGAACGTGCCAAAACCGGTTTGGCTCAGTGGTAGAGCGTCGGTCTGTGGACTGAAAGGTTCCGGGTTCGATTCCGGTCAGGGGCATGTACATTGGTTGTGGGCACATCCCCGGTAGGGGGTGTGCAATAGGCAGTTGGTCGATGTTTCTCTCTCATCGATGTTTCTAGCTCTCTATCTCTCCCTTCCTCTCTGTAAAAAATCAATAAAATATATTTAAAAAAGAAAAGAAAAAGAAAAAAGAATTGAGAGAACGCATGTAAAATTCATTGAAAAGGCTCAACAATATTAACTCTTAGAAACAGACCAAATCTAATTGAAATTGACAAATCATTATCTATATGAATGAGAGTTTTTGTATTTTTTTTTCCTTCTTTTTTTTGTGCTATAGAAGTCATTGTCATTACAACCAGGGATGTCCAAAAGGCTTTATCTGCAGAATTCAAGATGAAAATGAAGCTAGATATTGTGTGTATTCCTGATGAGGCTGACAAGGGAACTGCAGATTCTCTGCGCCACATATATGCAAAACTTAAGGTGAAAAACTATTTCTTGATTTTTATTGTTTAAAAAAGGTAAATGTTATCTTATGTTTTTCCAGTGTTTTATAGTTTATAATGTTTTTAAAAATATACATTATTACCTTACATACTTTGTTGTGCATGTACTCTTCAACTCTTTTTAGTTTAATTACTAAGTAAAGATTTAGACATTTGGTCACAGTCCCTGGTTTCCAATATTTTAAAGTAATAGTACATCTTTATAAATATAAATATATATATATATATATATATATATATATATATATACTTCAAATTTACTTTAAAACATTCTATTTATATTAAATTAATTAATAAGCAAAATTACTAGATAAATTAACTGGAAAGAAGTACAAAGGAACTTTAAGAAATTGCAGATCCCGCCCTGGCTGGTTTGGCTCAGTGGATAGAGTGTCAGCCTGCGCACTGAGGGGCCAGGCTTGATCCCCAGTAAAGGGATGTGCAAGAGACAACCAATCAATGATGCCCTTTCATCATTGATGTTTTTATCTCTCTCTACCTCTCTCTTTCTCTTTGAAATCAATAAAAATATATTTAAAAATAAATAAATAAAGTAAAAAATTGCAGATCCCCTCACATGATAATATTTAAACTTTTAGTCTCCTTCATTAAGAAACTAACAAGGGCCTTAGTTGATTTGACTCAGGAGATAGAGCATCAGCCAGTGGACTAAAGAGTGCCAGGTTTGATTCTGGTCAAGGACACATGCCCAGGTTGTGGACTCGATCCCCAATAGGGGGCGTAGAGGATGCAGCCATTCAGTGATTCTCTCTTATCATTGATGTTTCTGTATCTCTCTTCCCTCTCCCTTTCTCTATGAAATTAAAAATATATATATTTTTAAAAAACTAACAGGGGCATATGGATATGAGTAAACAGTCTCCCAGTGGCTAGTCATGCACAAACTGAAAAAAATTATATTAAATTAATTAATAAGCAAAATTACTAGATAAATTAACTGGAAAGAAGTACAAAGGAACTTTAAGAAATTGCAGATCCCGCCCTGGCTGGTTTGGCTCAGTGGATAGAGTGTCAGCCTGCGCACTGAGGGGCCAGGCTTGATCCCCAGTAAAGGGATGTGCAAGAGACAACCAATCAATGATGCCCTTTCATCATTGATGTTTTTATCTCTCTCTACCTCTCTCTTTCTCTTTGAAATCAATAAAAATATATTTAAAAATAAATAAATAAAGTAAAAAATTGCAGATCCCCTCACATGATAATATTTAAACTTTTAGTCTCCTTCATTAAGAAACTAACAAGGGCCTTAGTTGATTTGACTCAGGAGATAGAGCATCAGCCAGTGGACTAAAGAGTGCCAGGTTTGATTCTGGTCAAGGACACATGCCCAGGTTGTGGACTCGATCCCCAATAGGGGGCGTAGAGGATGCAGCCATTCAGTGATTCTCTCTTATCATTGATGTTTCTGTATCTCTCTTCCCTCTCCCTTTCTCTATGAAATTAAAAATATATATATTTTTAAAAAACTAACAGGGGCATATGGATATGAGTAAACAGTCTCCCAGTGGCTAGTCATGCACAAACTGAAAAAAAGTAAACGTCATAAATTATTCTAAAATTGATGTTGTTTTGAAAAAGTCCAGTCTGTGTGATAACGTTGCCATCTTGTTTGAATTGGGAGGCAGACTTTCTTCTGCTATTTTTGTGACTGCAAACAGATGTATTAATATGTTCAACCTACCTATGCATTAAAGAACAAAAAATTTGACAGGTTTAGAGATCAATCCAAGATGGCTGCACAGGTAAATACCTAGCCGCAGCCGCACATAACAATTTCAATAAAATACAACTAAAATATAAAATCGACATTACCCAGAACTACAGGGAAGTCGACTGACTGGGAATTCTACAACGAGAAGCAAGGAGAAAACCAGAAGGAAGAGCGGAGGAGCTGTAAAAGCCTAAAGTACAGAGACATGTGCCGTGGAGAGGACGGAGCCGGAGAGGAGGGGTGACTGAGTGCCTGGCTGGCATTCCTAGCAGGAAGGAGATAAAAGCTCCGACTGTGCTGGGCCCTAGTTCCGACTGCTCTGAACCCCAGTTCTAGGCCAAACCCCAGGGACCCAGGCTCATCCATAGGGATCTGGGCTGTAAGGCAGAACACTGGGGGAGCGGCGAAAGGAGGTTCCGGAGGCGCACATGCGCAGAGAAGGGACGGTTGGCTGTGCTGTGGGATTGCCCTGTCAGGAAGAAGACTGGGGCTCCAGACTGCTCTGAACACCACCTCCAATCCCACTTCCAACTGAAATGAACCCCAGTTCTGGGCTCATTGGGGGAGAGCCTAGACTGTTTGGTAGCAGGCGAAAATCGAGGGCACCTTTCTCTCAGAGGAGCTTGCAGGGAGTACTGAAGGACCCTGAGACCCAGGAACCGCATAGGGCGGGCATAGGGCGGGGCTGACGGAAGCCAAGGCTGAAACTCCGCCCCCATCATGGAAGCTGCGAAAATGCGACAACGAAATAGATCACAAACGAAAGAAATGGAGGACAAAAAGCGACTGGATATAGAGTTCAAATCTACGCTTATAAGGTTTTTCAAGAATTTTCTAGAAAAGGTCGATAAGTCCTATGAGGATATGAAAAGAGATCAACTAGAATTAATAAGGAATCAACAAGAAATGATAAGGGATCAACAAGAAATAAAGAATACATTGTCTGAAATAAAAAATATTATACAGAGTCCTAAAAACAGAATGGAAGATTGCAAGAATCAAGTCAAAGATTTGGAACATAAAGAGCCAGAAGACACTCCTCCTCAGAAGCAAGAAGACAATAGAATCCAGAAAATTGAAGATAATGTAAGAAATCTCTGGGACAACTTCAAGCGAACCAACATCAAAATTATGGGGGTCCCAGAAGATGAGAGAGAGCAAGATATCGAAAACATACTGAAAGAAATAGTGACAGAAAACTTCCCCCACCTGGTGAAAGAATTAGACTTACAAGTCCAGGAAGCGCACAGAATCCAAACAAAAGGAATCCAAAGAGGACCACACCAAGACAAATCATAATTAAAATTCCAAGAGCAAAAGACAAAGAGAGAATATTAAAAGCAGCAAGAGCAAAGCAGGTAGTTACCTATAAAGGAACACCTATACGGTTGTCAGCTGATTTCTCAACAGAAACCATGCAGGCCAGACGGGAATGGCAAGAAATATTCAAGGTGATGAATAGTAAGAACCTACAGCCAAAAATAATCTACCCAGCAAAGCTATCACTCAGAATCGAAGGCCAGATAAAGAGCTTCACCAATAAAAAAAAAGCTAAAGGAGTTCATTACCACCAAACCAGAATTATATGAATTGCTGAAGGGGGTTCTTTTGGAAGAGAAAGTAAATAAAGATAAAAATTATGAACAACAAATACGTAATTATCAACAAGTGAATCTAAAAACCAAGGAAATTAAAAAAAAAAATCTGATGAACAATATTAACTGTTGAATATAATAGAATCAAAGGTATGGAAGGGCCCCTATGTTCATAGCAGCACATTCTACAATAGCCAGAATTTGGAAACAGCCTAGGTGCCCGTCAGCAGATGATTGGATCCAAAAACTATTGTACATCTACACAATGGAATACTATGCTGCCATAAAAAAGAAGGAATTCTCATCATTTGTGGCAACCTGGATGGAATTGGAGAACATCATGCTGAGTGAAATAAGCCAATCAATGAAAGAGAAACACCACATGACCTCACTCATTTGTGGATGATAAAGAACATTATAAACGATGAACCAAGAGACAGATATAGAGACAGTAAAGCAACAGGCAGACTGTCAAATTACAGTGGGGAGGGGAGGAAGATCTGGAGGAGATAATAGATCAACCGAAGGACTTGTGTACATGCATATAAGTACAACCAATGGACATCAAACTCTGATGAGGGAGGGTATGTATGGGAGGGAGGGAGGGGGGCAAAAAAATCAATAAAATATATATTTTTTTAAATAAAAAATAAAAGAGGAATAGAAGAGAGAGAAAAAAAGAGGTATGGAAGGGGAGTGAACTGACGATTCTTGGGGAAAAGGGGAGAGGGGGATGTGGGAAGAAACTGAACATAAACTGTGCACCTATGGATGAGGACAATGGGGGTGGGGAAAGGGCAGAGGGTGAGATGGAAACCTGGTGGAGGAGAGCAATGGAGGGGAAGGGGGGGGGAGGAACATTTGTAATAATATGAATAATAAAAATTTATTTTAAAAAAAAGAACAAAAAATTTATGCTGAAATGTACATGGCCTTCCCTCCCCTTTTTGGGGGGATAATTTACACACAGTAAAACACACACAGATATTAATGGGTTTAATGAATTTAAAAATATATATACATCCAATTTATCATTATGCAAATCTAGGACATTTCCATCACTTCTAAAATTTCCTTTGTAGCTGAAACCGGTTTGGCTCAGTGGTAGAGCATCGTTCTGTGGACTGAAAGGTCCCGGGTTCGATTCCGGTCAGGGGCATGTACCTTGGTTGCAGGCATATCCCAGTACAGAGTGTGCAAGAGGCAGCTGATCGATGACTCTCTCTCATTGATGTTCCTAACTCTCTATCTCTCTCCCTTCCTCTCTGTACAAAATCAATAAAATAAAAATTAAAAATAAAATTTCCTTTGTATTTCTTATTAGTCAGTATCCCACCTACAGAGTCAACTACTATTCTGATTTCTATCAGCATATATTAATTTTGCTTGTTTATGAACTAGATATAAATGGAATCATACAATATTCTGGTTTATTTTGTTCAACATATTTTTTAGAAACATCAACAATGAGAGAATCATTGATGGGCTGCCTCCTCATGCCCCACATTGGGGATTGAGCCCATAATTCCGGCATATGCTTTGACCAGGAATGGAACCCTGACCTCCTGGTCCCATAGGTTGATGCTATACCATTGAGTCACACTGGCCAGGCTGATTATATCTTTTTCCTTCCTTTTTATTTTTTAAAAA